AATCAAGTAACTGATACAGACGATCACTTGAAATGACGCTAATTCCGACTTGCGATCAATTAGCAACGCGCTGATAGACCGACGTTGCGTGGTCATTACGACTGACTCATTAATGAAAATCACTGATATTCAAGCTTTGATAATAGCCTGGCATTGTGCTCACTTAGGACATTCCGTTGAGAGGTAAAATGAAAGGTGAAATCAAATCAATGTTACAGATGACCAGCAGTCAAAGGCATAAATTCAAATCCTCATCACAGGCTGCTCGCGGATGTACTGACATCGTACAGTCGTCACCATGTAACTGTGCTAAGAAATTCACCGGTTTGGCAACGGCTTCGTATTTCACTCACAGTGAGATATGCATTAATATGTAACATGATCAGCCGAATCACACAATTGATGCAACGGACCACTGTCCAGTGATGACGCCATTCAGCGGTGCAATCCAAACCATACCATTCGGGCGATTCTTCTAAGGTGTTCAAGCAACCACCGGCGATCAGGCCGGTGTTGAGGTTCTGATAGAATCCAATATGGCCGAGGGATTACTTAATGAAAGCTTATCAGCGGAGGAGTACCAATTATCTAACTAGAGTTTGCGACAGGCTAAAGCTCTGACCTTGTTACAAGTCTATGCTCCAAATTCGGAGAGAGAATGCGACTCCTTTTTCGAGAAAGTATACGGTGTTCTTAGCGAAGTGATGACTGAGGAATCAATCTTTGTCATTGGCGATTTCAATGTGCATGTTGGAAAACGTGCTGGAAAGTGGAAATGCCTGACTGGAAAGAACGGCTCTAGGGACTCGGCAATGATGGTATAAAGTTGCACTGCTTTAGTGCAAACAGAGAGTGTCTGTTATCAGCACGTTCTCCGAGTATCGAAACGTAACTCAGTATACCTCGCATTAGTAAACTTGTGCACAGAAGTCAACTATCGATTTGATAATGCCATCGTCTCACTTCGGACACTTTACAGTCGATATTAGCAGTTAAAGAAAGTCGCAGAGTTGTGAACCACTCATCTCCTTCCGTTCCTACCCTCCATGGCAAATGATGCAGCGCTTTGCGAAAACTTTGTGACACAAGCAACCAAAGAATCAAATGTAAAATATTATACTCGTCCTGCTGGACGGATGTGAGGATGAAACATGCAAGCAACATCACTCAACGATGCCAACAGAACACAATGACGGTTAACGAGGAAACCCGATGAAAGCCCGTTATGATAGGCTTATTCAGCCTGCCGCTGAATGCTGTGGTTATAAAAGGGTTGGCCTGTCGAATGGAGGTCAGAAATGAACTTCCTGATTGAGATTAAAGGTTTAACTGTCTTTCAACAAGATGAAGGATGTATTTAATAGAGGGATTGGAAGCAAGGAGCATTCAACTCAAATGTGGTGCAAAAACCGCGAAAGGCGGAAACAAAATCAGTGGAAAAGCGAAAGTTGATTCCTGAGAAAAGCTAAGAAATGCAACACCGTGAAGTGCTGGAGTCGAATTTTTAGAGAGGAGTTAAAGGATTTTGCAGCATCTACATCCCCCCTCCCTGAGAAGCAAAGAAGTGTTTTCACACAATCATGAA